TGGTTTTGTTTGCATGTCACCCAGTCCTGTTCCCCTTAAAGCTAACATCTAATGAAGAATGATGTATTTTGCCTATAGATGTGCATACTCATTTATCCTGAGATGAAAATTAGCTTCTGCGTCTTCAAGAATTTGGAATTGAAAGATAGACAGAGAATGCCCACATTTGAGTGTCTGACCTAAAAATTGAGGCTTTCTAACTGATTATCCTTTTAAAAGGTCAAGAAGCCTGTGAATCTATAAATAAACCTGATTACCACGGATGGTAAACTTTTAAGCATTTCAGCTTCTACACTCCTCGGTAACTGATTTTATCCATAATCCCCACAGCCTAGCAGCTTTATAGATGTCTATTTTTATCTATTTAAATTTGCTTTTCAAAACTATTTAAGAAATACAACACCATGTGTCTGGGGACATTAACTAGCTGTTGTGGTTAAAGGCTCTAAGAAAAGGAAGCGCTGAGCTCAACTGCACAACACAAAGTACATATACTAATGTCAAAACATCTCCAGGATGCGTGCAAATGTCAATTTTAAGTACAAACAATGAAATCACTTGGCTCCAGAAATCCTCTTCTTCCATTTGCCCTCTGACAGTCCTTGTTCCATATGCTCACAATATTTTTCTTCAAATATGCTATCCTGTCAAAGCCCAAAAATTTGGACCAAAACATTCTATTTCAGAATGTCATTTCTTTCAATCTTATATTTGAATTAGTCTTTATATTCAAAAGATCAGAACCTATCATGTCAAATCTACATAAACTAAAGGGCTAGTTAACAGAATTTAATGCTACAAAGAGCTCCACCTCATTCTATTATGATCTGCTTTATGAGTCTAAATGGCACACACTTCATTAAGTTACTTAAAGGTTTTAGTTCAAAGCAATTGCACAGCTCTTAACTTCTCATAGAAAATTGCAGATAATTTGTGGGCTGGTTAAAGTAGTATTTCAATTATCTGAGTAAGATGTAAACATAAGATACTAAGATAGAACAATGTGGCATCAATAAGGTTACCGATGAATGAGATTGATTTTGGTGCTGATATACACAGAAAGTGAATATCATATTTGCCTCTATACCTTCAAACAAAACAGAAGAATCTATAAAGAAAAATTGAAAGAGAAATGCTTGCTTTTACCAATTTAAAACATTAAATACATAGACATTTTACAAAATAGTTAAAGAATTATGCATATAATATATTAAAAATCTCACTAGAATTTAAGGGAGACATATATATGAACATATTAAAAATAAATAATTTTGATATTTTGATAACAAGTAACTGGTACATCTGACATAAATTTGAAATTCCGTTAAGAGAGAAAGACTTCATGTAGGTGGAAATTTATGACAGGTGGTAAGAAAGAAAAAGCTTTAAATCTTGAGTGTTGTCCGTTAGCAATTTAACACTAACTCATAATCAAGATGTCTATTCTAAATTATGTATACATGGTTAAACAACATGGAGCTGAGAAGCAGAGTTTGGTTAATTTGGCCCTCTGTTTCCATGGAAACAGATGCTGTGTTGTATTTCTGTAGGCCAGATTTTAAAGTGGAAAACTACAGTACATTAATACCTCAGGACCTCCATAACAATATATCTCAAAGATGCTTTAAGTTTATTTGGATCATTGAAATAACAGTGCATAGCATGCCACAGAGCTCAGGTGGGACACCTTTAGCTTCTGCTAGTTGTCTTGAGCCTTTAGATTATCTCCTGCTATCCCTTCTCAATTTTGGTACAATGGCTTTAGAGTAAGAGTAAGGTCTTTTTTTTGTTTGGCTTTGCATCCTCAGCATGTGACACAAGATTCAGCTTAAACTCTTATTTGATAAAAGCATTTTTATTAAATAAACTGCAGTAAAATATTTTTCTATACCTTCTATCAGAAGAGTGAGCTGTAGTGCTATAGTGCTGGACTAACAGGTATCTGAATCCTGATTTCAGTAGTTAACTTGCTATGTGACCTCTAAGCCAATCACACAAATTTCTACCTAGCAGTTTCTTCATTAAGTAGGAGATAATAGCAAAAGCCAAATCATGGAGGTGTTGTCATTTGAAAATAGTATAATTAATGGAAAATTCTTAGAGCAATTTTAGCATAGTAAGTAATCAGCAAATTGAAATAAGTATAGTTACTGAGGCTGCTCCTGCTTCTTTCCAGGCACTCTAACAAGCACTCAGGATCTTTGTTATAACTCTGCCTAGTCAACTCAGTTTGGAAACTATGAGACCTAGATTTGAGCCTTACCCTAACTGACTTTTGGTCTAGCGATTTTTCCAATAGACCATGCTATCTCTTTTGTATGTTTCGAAGACTCTGAAAGAAAAATTATTTTTATAAAGCATGAGCACCTGATCCATTATACAAGATAGCTAATTCAAAATTCATGGGTTGATGAGAGGAATTTAACCAGATTATATTTTATTTTGAAAGGAATTCAGTTAGATTTCCTTGATATAAAATTAGAATTTTAATTTGAAAATAAACATAAAGTTTCATTTATTTAGTAGTCATCAAGTCTTTTTCAGGAGGACCCTGTTGACCCTGGTGAGTTTCTCAAAAGTCCTCGTTTATGGTTACCATTTGTTATAGTCACTAATCAAACCTTTTTTGCAGAAAAGGAGTCAATGTTTTTCCATCAAGAGGAGTCAGAGAGCTACTTTGCCACAAGAATAAAAATACATTTTTCATATAGGCATATAGGCATATAGGCATAGCGAGGTTCATGATCAAAAAGAGAAAGAATATTAAACATATCATGCAAGATTGTCAATGGATTATTATAATATTATTCAAATAATGTTCTAGTTAAAAAATTACTTTTATTCTTTATATGAATCTCTTGAGATCAGTGTTAACATGGGCATATTATATATTACAAAACAACAGCTAGAGTACCCGCTCTATTAAAAACAATATGGTCAGTGCTCTTACACATGAAACAGTTCACTACAAAATTCAGAATAAATATGTGAAAACTGAAATGCAGAGAGGTTGACACAGTTAATGAAAGAGAAGAAAACACCAACAGGGCATTGTGAAGGCAATTAAATAGTTATTACAAACAACTGAGCTAGAGCACTATTCAATTTGACTAATTTCTTCATTCATTGTTTCCTTCTACAAAGTCACAAAATAGTAAGACTGATGCCCAAACAATACACTAGGCTGAGCCCTGGAAAATGCCAGATATTTTATGATTATGTCCTATAAAAATGGCAATTAAAACCTACTTCGTTAATCATACTTAGTTAATAATTATTAACTAAGTTAAATCATAATTAATAATTATGTCCTAAATAAATTATATTATTGCAGTCAAAATGCTTTTATCACAATATTAAAGTAGTTTTCAGACACCTATTCAATAATAAGTGGCAACCTACCAATATGGAACATATACATTAAAAAAAAAAATTCATGCCAGGCCTGGTGGCGCATGCCTGTAGTCCCAGCACTTGGAAAGCAGAGGCAGGCAGATCTCTGTGAGTTCAAGGCCAGCCTGGTCTACAGAGTGAGTTCCAAGACAGCTCGGTCTACAATGAGACACTGTGCCAAAAAGACCAAAAAAAAAAAAAAAAAAAAAAAACACCCAAAAATAAAAACAAAAACAACAAAAAAAGAATTTATATTTTGAGCAATTAAATATTTATTTTGTGTATTCATATGATGAATCCAATTGTGTACAATTAAGTTATATAATTATTTTGATACAGACCCATGAATGTCAAAAAATTTATAGTAACAGTAAGATCCAAGTTACAGTTTTCTTTTCCTTTAAAAAAATATTTTATTTATATTTTTATTTTATGTGCATGAGTGTTTTGCCTGCATGTATGTAAATACACCTCAAGCATGCAATGCCCTGCAGAGATCAGAAGAGGGTGTTGGAGCCCCTGAAACGGTAGTTACTAATGATCGTTAACCACCATGTCGGTGCTGGGAATCAAACTTAGGTCCTCTGGAAAAACAGCAAGTTTTCTTAGTCACTGAGCCAGTTCTCCAGCCCCATTCTTTTTCTTTTATGTTCAGTTTTCAGAGGCTGTTGGAAGAGGTTGAATAAAGCAGTTGAGAGAATTTATGTCTATTAATCTAGATATAATGCAATTTATACAATGTAATTGATGACATTTTCACTATCAGTTTTTGTTTTGGAAAATATACTTTAATTATTCAAAAACATAGCACTAAACATATCACTGTATCACTAAACTTCTACGATCACAGGCACAAGGTATAATTATATGCACAGGTCAGTGTATGACCAAACCAGTCATTATTCTAGCATAGATTGGGAAGGTGTTCATGTACCCCCATTTCTAACTGAGAAAATCTGGACAGTTGACAAGTTGTGATGGAGCAAAAGTCAGTTTTCTTTAAGGGCACCATGGCTCCTGGTAAGTTGACTGTGCTCTGGTGAATGGTTCCCCTACCCAAGAATATATGGGATATACAAACTGGACTCAATGATTATCAAAAGTTTTAAAAAAAGGACATGAAGCTGGCATGGAGGCAGGAGTGGAAATGGAAGGTTGTTAAGGGGAGAAGTTGGGTGAATATGATCAAAACACATGGCAGGAAATTCTCAAAAAATTTCTGCAACATTATTTTAGTGGTTAAAGGTTTAAATTATCAGTTTTATTTTCAATATAGTAAATATTAGTAGTTACAATGCTCAGGAAAATAAAAAGCTCTTTGAAGTTCTCAGAAAAGACTAACAGTTCATATCGCCATAATATTCAGGTCTATTGGTAAAGAAACAAGAAAATATTACTGTTTGTTCAATATTTAAGCTTTACTTCACTTTAAAATTTCCCAAGATGAAGACCTTCATGGTCCTTGAGAAGAATATGAGCAGTCATTTAAAATAGGTCTATTTAAAAACCCTCACGGTATCTTATTCATAACATGAAAATGTATTGAGCTCTTTAGGAATTGCTCCATTTGCAAAATATATAAGTTAACCAAAATAAATAATTCATACCTCACCAAGTGAGTAATAACGTCTTGGGATCTGGGAGTCCGGATAGATGTTTTCTAGGTACCAAGAGAAAGGCTTACACTTCAGATTTTCCCTCAGTGCTTTTCTGACTGATACATCTCCATAGTCCACTTTGACAACACCTGGAATGTTTCAGACAAACACAAATCAGTTTGTGCTATTTTCACATGAACTCAATCTGTTTATTTTGCTCCCAGTTTTCTCTATAATTAAAATTCCATGAAACTCGAATGCACGTACAGCTGCTGCCACACTCCACTTCTAGCTACCATCTAATTAGTACATTAAATACATAGGAGAAAGGCAGTTCCTTTCAGTGCTTGGGACTTTTGAAATGCAAATATTTACCACAAAGTACTTGTAATTCTTGGGTTAAAAAAATAATCATCTAAATATAAACTGATGTTAATTTAGCATCATATAATCAAAGCTTAACTCAACTATGTAATTGTCTGTGCCTGCTTAATAGACATTTCAATGCTTTGTTAATGCTCATATTTTCCCTATGGAGTCATTTATTCTCCATCAGCATATTTTATGAGAAATTTATGTAAATATGATCCTCATAATGGACTGCACATGTCCTTCAGTTTTCTTCTTATGCTTCTAAGTTTTCTATAAATTTCATTTATTATTTATTGATTTTTTTTTCCTATTGATTTCATAAGGTATTTTATGTTACCTTGAGGCATTGGAAAAGTCAGTAAATTAATAGCATTAAGAAACTAGTATAAACAATTTACAGGAATATAGTCACATGGATTTTCTAAAAATCATATAATTTTAGTTCAAATAGCAGAATATTTGAAATTAAAACATTCATTGAAAATTATAAAAGGATGTTTACTTTGAGAAACAAAAACAGTAGTGCTACTAATTTCTCTCTAAACCACATAATAATAACATAATTTCCCATTAATTTTTCAATATTAAAAACATTCGACTGATATGATTAAAAAACTGTGACAAGATAGCAATTATTTCTTAGGTTATTTGGTAAAGATTTCAGTAGTTTATTCATTTACTTAAGGCCAGTAAGTATCAAATGCTGTTACAGAAAAAAAAAAAATAATAGTAACCTAGTATTTAGGCTATTATATCCCAACAAAGAAGCAAAGCCTACTAGTTACCGGAAAGACAGTCATAATTGTTTAGCCAATTCAATGTCTGAGACAAATCCCATCATTAGGTCACTGTTTTCAAAAGCAGCAACACTCTCCAGCTCCACTATCCACTTCCCCCACCTCTTTCATCTCTTGAGACTCCTTCTTATTTCAAAATTAAATGCCTAGTACTGGTAGAAAGCATTCTGATGGTACTCTAGTACCAAAAGTGTTTCCTTCCAAAAGAAGGTATTTATTATCTCAGCTGGTGCTTGCATTGAAAAAACAAGGATATTTAAAAAACATACACACAAATATTTGCTAACAAATCTTCTTATCTAGAACTTCTAGCCTGGAGTGCAAACTTTCAGGGGTGGGACCAAAAAAATAATCTTATTTCCTTAGTGTATTGAGTAACAGAAATTAAAATTGCTTAAAACCTAGCCTTCAGAATTATATACAAAGTTTCATTGGTTCTAGAAAAAAAAAAAAGCATTGTATCCTCACAAGACATATTTGTGGTGGATAAATTTAACCTGGATGGCTTATTTAATATCAATGTTTTCACCTTATAGATTTGTGTGACCTGGTTTTCTCCTATTTAAAAAAATTTCTTTTTTCTTTTAAAAAATAATTACTAATATTTTTATTTTACTTGTATGAGTGTTTTACCTATGTGTATATAATTGCACCTGTGTCACAAAATGCCTGCAGTGACCAGAAGAGGGTGTTGGATTTCCTGGACTGGAGTTATGGACCGGGTTGTTAGCTGTCATGTGGGTGCTGGGAATTGAACCCAGGTCCTCTGCAAGAGCAACTAGTGCTCTTAACTGTTGAGCCATCTCTCCAGCTCCTTGTTCTCCATTTTATATAGTATTATGATTTGGTACTCCTGGCTTTGGAATTTATTTTCCAAAAAGAGTTTTATGAGTGGTTTTCTGACTAGAAGGTGGGTTTGACGATTTATTTGTAGAGAATAATAAATATTACAAAGAAAACCTCCAGCCTGGCTCCCCTGCCTCCTCTAGCCACCCTTTTGCATTGGTACTGAAACTGGCTTTGTCTTGAATCACCATGTTAAATTAACTTTAGAAATACACAACACTATAGTTGCGCCCATAAATTGGTAATTTTTAACTCCTCAATAGCCCTACTTTTGTGCTTGGAAGTTAAATATTACAAAAGGATCAGCAAAGCTCACCAGACACTCTACACCTCTTCACATTTTGAGACCCCCCCACGCCCCCAGTTAAATAGGTCTAGTCAATAAACCAGAGATAAAGAAACTATTTCTGGTCATAAAGACAGAAGAAGAACAGCTACAAAATTCTCCATCTCTGCTTTTCTTTACCTCAGAGGTGATACAGGTCTTGTATCACTGGGGCAGCTGCAAGAGAGGAGGGTCTTTTCTGTGCCTGTGTGTTTTAGTGTCTGTGTTATAGTACGTGGAGCAGAATACTCAGATCTGTTGCTGGAAACACCATCTCACGTGCTTCCAAATGTGTAGCTCCAACCCAAACCGCTTCAAAGTGGTTTCCGCAGCTGTTTCTCAGCAAAATCTCTTATCACCTCAGACTTGACAAATCAAGTTGACTTCTCAAGTTGCTTCGTTGCCAAAACAATCATTTTCCTTAATAAACATAGATATTTACCGATTTTCTCAGGGCAAATTCATAGAAGTAGTTATTTTCAGCTCATACAGAGACACAGACACAGACACAGACACATGGAAACAGACACATACACACAGACACACAGACACACACATATATAATTCATTAACAGATGCTGTTTCTATTTTCACAATATATCCTCTGTTCCTTGCTGCTTTTGTCTTGATCCCACCATTGCAATAACCTACTAATTTCCAACAAATCTTAGACTTGTTCATCAGTCTTTTTTCACTACTGCCTGTGCCTCAGAGGATGCATTTAAAGTACAAATCAAACAATATTACTTCTCGGCTCAAAAGCTACCAGCAATTTTCCATTGTACTAAGAATAGTTGAGCACCTCTTAACATTGTCTCATAATCATTACAAAATCCCTCTTGGCTATTTCTCTGAATTCATCATTGGAGTCATAATGGATTTCTTTTTTTGTCTTTGCTCTAATCCAGAAGTACTAATCTCATTCCCAACTCAAGGCTCTGTAAATATCTTTCTTTCTGACTGGAATATTACTCTAGGACTTTAGAAGATGTTCTTTACTTGGTACAATTCTTGGCTCAAATCTTATGTCTCCTGGTTCACTTTGATCTTCTTATCTAATTTGCTCACTTCCTCACAACATCCTTGGTATAGTCCATCTCCCTATCTTGCTCAGCTTTTCTCCATTGCATTAATTAGTATTCAATATTCCCTTATAGCCTAATTTTCTCATTGCCATTAAGAATTTTGAGTAAATTATTGTATCTATTGAAGTCTAAAGTACTCATGGGGCTATCGTGAATACTAAATATTGTCTGGAAAATGCCTAATATAGTACTCAGTATACAGTAATTGCTTAATACATAGCACATATTACATTAAATATCAGCCCTTTTTGCATGATCTGTTCTGTCCTTTGGCAAAAACGTGGATCATCTTTAGTTTTCAATTTAGATGGGGCCGCTCTCATTTCTCTCCCCACACTTTTAGGTTCATCTAGGGGCAAAGATTAAAATCACATCATCCAAGAATCTTGTTAAAAATGTATTTCTGGCTCTGGTAGTCTGGGTTAGGACCTGGGGGTTTATATTTCCTACAAGCTTCCAGGGTTTATTGTTAGGTCTCGTTTTTAAGTGGCATTTAAGGCAATCAGAACCTACAATTTCTCAAACTTACATATAACCAGATCAAAAGGTCTATGAAGCAGTCGAGCTAATAAATGTATATGTTGAGAGAAGCTGTTCGAACTACAGGAATTTGAAGCTCTATTTTCTCTGGAATTGGTAGATAGCTATGATGATGAGTTAATACTGGAGATTTCAAGCCTATTGTACAGAGAAGGTCTAAGACAGTGACATCACCAATGCAGGGCTAAGATAATCAACACATAGACACATATATCTGTCT